CTCTTGGCATTTTTGTATGATATATAGAGATATGGTATTTAAAAGTCTTCTTATATTTTCATTTTTTTTATTCATGTTGTGAAAGTTCCCGATGCCTACTTTTCTTTTTATTTAAAGAAGTTTTAAAGGGCGAATACAAATATCCACTGTTTTCATAGGAAATGCCATTGATCACATGACTCATCCTTCACACACTTTTAAAAAGCTATAAATCATTTTTTTGGGCCTGGATTTTGAATGTACAGTAAGCCTGAAGCCACCTCCTCCAATTTCAGAGTAAGAAAACATTTAAGAAATATAGCCTGAAGACAGCCAAAGATGGAACTAGTTGTCCTCCCAAATAATTGATAATATTTCATTATTGATTTTCTCTGAATTAATGCTAGGTTGAGAAATGAGTCACAACTTTTTTCATTTTTGAAAAATATATTTCTTTTCATTTTCATGATCTAAAAGTATTGACAGCTTTCAGCAAGGCAATATATATAAGGAAATGTTCTATTATTCACCTGATCACACAGCCTTATATCACAAGAATAAGTTTCATTACACCTCCAATGACCTGCTCGCCATAATGTGAAAATTGGGAAATGTTTCATTTCTTGCTTCTTTAAGCATATTGTGTTAAGTTATAATAAGGCAACAAAAGTACAAGTTCAAACTACTCAGTGAGGCTCAACATAAAGATATCAATCATAATGAGAAGTTGTCACTTTTAGATGTTAGCGATGCACTTTTAGTTATGATGAGAAAATTTCAGAGATTCACACTATTCTGCACTGTTGCGTTCCTTCCTCCTTGCTAATTGAGGAAAACCATATGGGCCATATCTGAAATGCAATTCTTTAAAAGAAAATTAATTTGAATGGGATCTAAGTGCAATACTCTGAATTTGGACCCATTCCACTACTGCTGGACAGCTGCCATACTGACACAACCTCACTGTGTGCAATGCAATATGTAGTGTATTCTGAGTGCTCCATTATGTGCAGTAATTCTCACAAGATCATTAGACTTGATCTGTTATTATCTCTGTTTATGGATGAGTTCCTGGAGCCATTGTTATGTGGCTAAAACTGTTTACTGAATTCATGGATTTGGGTTTGAAAGAAGTGAGATACAAGTGTCTAAAATTCTATAGCAGTGTATATGCTAAAATTAAAACATGGTGATTTTCTATTGGCAGATGGGCCTTACAGAATTTATGTGTTATAGTGTCATTCTAGAATACTCAGGTTCAAATCTGTTTTCATCAATGAAGCTCATTCTGATCAATTATTAGCTCACTGAGTTCTTGCTGTGAATGGAATATTGAAATGGGAGAGAAAAAAATGGGGCAAAGGCAGGATAAAAACATAAGAATTTGAACAAGAAACTTTTTTAAAAAAAAAAAAACTTTGTACAACAAAAATTAGAATGACCTTGTTCTGTGTTCAGTAAAAGATTCACTTTAAGCATGAAAAGATGTGGACAAACATTAGCCAGACCATTCAAGCTTTTTAGAAATAATCTTTTGTCAAGCAGTTACAAAATAAGGAAGTTGAGCCACGTGAGATGAAGAAGACAAAAGTTATAGCCTGAGATTAGCCACGTATCCGCATGGCATACAATCCTCGGACTAAGAAAAAGACTCTACATAAGACAGTAATTTAAACCCCAAAAGGTGTAAGATTTTCATTCACGCTGTTTGGTGGGAAGTGTGAAAAGAAATTCCAAGATTATTAGTAAAATTGATGTCATTAGCGATTGTTTCACTCTTAGGTGATTTCCATGGGAGAGAGAATGTAGCTATTGTTTGATCTCGTTTTGTAGATAATATTTTCCTGGATAAGGTGCTGTTTTATACACAAAGGTGCTTGACAATGAGCACCTCCACTCAGAAAACTTCAGTTGTAATAGGGATATTTTAATAAAACAGAAAATATCAATAACGCGATCCACATATTTCTATGAAATGCTAAGTTTGATAACGATTTCTCTTTGAGTGATCTGCTGATTGTCCTTAATCAGTTAATCAAACTTTCTCACATGAAACTCATATCTTGTTCACTTTGTTCATGATCAGCCAAATCAGCTGGGTGGAAGTTCATTACCCCTTAACCAACTCATGCATGTTTGTTTGTTTGTTTGTTTGTGTGTGTGTGTATCTTTACCCAAACCTTCTAATATGAATGGTGGATGATTCTCTTCCCCTTGCCTCCTAGTTTTATTTATTCCTCTTTGTTTGTTTCTATATTTAGCTTTTAGCATTGTTTTGCATACTTTACATACTTTGAGAAGCAATATATAGAGAATAACAAAAACAAACTAATAATATTTGCATGATATTTCTACCATTTTGTCTGCATTCAACTTAGGGCATGGTACGGGTGCTTAAACCAATTGATATACATTTAAAATCAACTGATTATCACTTTGATACTATTACAAGCAGCCCATATTCTTAATCATTTAATCAAGTTTTTAAATACAGTTTTATGTGAGAAACCCAGTATGTTACAGTGTTCACTACAGCATCGGTCACCAACCTTTCCAGTTCCATGGACCAGCAGTGGCATTTGTGGGGAGATCGGATGATTTTGCGTGCATGCCCACTGCTTATGCATACAAAGCTTCATGTGCTCACACAGTTGCCCACCACTTCCGCGGTCCAGTTCCCAACAGGTTGCAGACCAGCACAGGCTGCAAACCAGGGATTGGGGATCCCTGCACTATAGGACAAGAAGTATATTAAAGCAGTTTGGGAAAGGAAAATATACAGAAATATATTTGAATGTTGGGGGTACTGAAGTCCCTTATTTCAAAAGGCTTCTTAAGAGCTGTTCTGTGACTGGAAAGGCTGCTTCAGAACACGTGGGGGGGGGGGTACAAACACAACTACCATGTGTGACTCATTAATGCAGCCACATCTTTTCAGTTTATCAGGCTGCTGTGTAGAGATTTCTGCTTCAGCTATAAATAGAAACTGATACAGCTGTTTTGGTGAATCTGCAACAGGTGCTGTATTCACCTTCCCACGTCTTCCCCATTAAATCTAAAGCACTGCATAACCCTAGTAGTTGTCATGTCATTAAAATTAGCAAGATGTGAGGGAAAAAGGCATCTAGTGAATTTGAATATGGGGTAAGTGGAGGCACACAAAAGGAAATCTAATTTCATACAGTGCATAATCGAATGATGGCATTCCCTAACACAAGATGGAGAATTGCCAGCTTGGAAGAAAATTAGACAAATTTATCAAGGACAGTCAATCTGTGACCACTTAGTTATACTCCAGCTACAGTATCTCTGGCAGCAGTCAACATATCTCTTAGTATACTGATTGTTTGACATAATAGTTACTGGAAAATATAATTAGGATTCTCCTGCACCAATTGCTCATAGGTATCTGGTTGTCCACTGTGGGTTCAGCATATATGACAGTGGTCTGTTTGGCCATCGTCCTTAGAGTCTTTAAAGATGATATATTTTATTACTAACTGGAGTATTTCTTTATATAATTCTTGCTGAGCAATTTGATAAGCTCTCTACATAGTCGTGATATTTTATTGACTTTACAAAGTAGGTTCACCAAGGAGTTTTTGCCTTTAAAATGACAGGCTCTATGCTGCTGATATCAGACTTTGAAGCAAGCTTCCCATCTGTTTATTTTCACAGTGAGTCATTTGTGTCCATTTGTATAAATATACATTTACTGCCTATTTAAATTTCTATAAAGGTGCTGGAGGAGAGTTGGGAGCTAGGAGGCCACAAGCACAAGCCCATTAGCAGCACCCATAATTGGAGCTGTCAACATGCAGAACTGGGATGCCCAGAGCTCAACTAATAAGCAGCAAAAATGCCACTGGGATTAAATCAGTAACAATGCTTCCACACCGACCATACTCTTCCAAATATTTGACATTGATAATTAGTTTGCTTTTGTATTGTCTGCTGCTTTGTAACGTGAGGCTGTAAAATAACCCCACCATTTCACATATGAAATGTCCAACTACCAGTGGACAACCAGTTCTATCTGAGTTGGAAAATACTATGCCCACCAAAATCACAGCTAAGTAATAACAAAATTTTTGTATCTAACCAGTCCCAGTTCACATCTTTTCATTTCAAGGGTTTTTAAAAAGCCCGTATGGATGTGCTGAATAAATAAAATTGGTTATGAAATGGTGATCATGTTATGGTGACTAAGATTTTTTTTAAAAAAAAAAAAACAGAGGCAACAATATTCTTATTAGCCTAGCTGAAGGTTTCCGAACATTATTGCAAGCTTTCAAGAACTATTTATCTGACAAGATAATTACTATCTGAAGGAGAAAGATGTAGAAAGGGATAAAGCAGGGGTCTTCAAACTTGGCCCTTTTAAGACTCATGGACTTCATTTCCCAGAATTCCTCAGCCAGGCACACTAGCTGAGGAATTCTGGGAATTGAAGTCCACAAGTCATAAAAGGGCCAAGTTTGAAGACCCCTAAGATAAAGGAAGAATGAACCTGGTGTGTAAGTCCTGCAGAAACAAAGACTTCTTGGAAACTGAAAGGCTGGCAATGCAATACAGCTTTTGGTTGGTCTGAAGGCAAGACTAATCCAGAATATATATATTTTTAAAAGCATACTTTGTAAAGCACAAAGCAAGTCTCCAAGTCACACCTTTGCTGGGTAATTACATATGGAATTTCAATGACCAAATCACAACACTGCTGGATGTTACGCACTCAAGCCCACAGCCCTAATGCTAACAATAGTTTCTGAGCAGTGTTTCCATAACAGGTGCATGGTAAACAGTCATATTGCCTTTCCAAAATATGCCAGAACATCCATTGTTGAAAACAATTGGACTGATTTTCTACCCAAAGGATAATACAAGGATTGCTATTTTGTTTTGTTTTTTATTGTTTCAACAACTGTTATTGTATGCTAAAAGCCAAAATTAGATTTAGGAGGAGAAAAGGTTGGAGAAAATATCCAGATACAGCAATGGAAAAAAAAGTCAATTCACTTCTAATATATCCTAGAGTTCAAACGTGAAATCCTGGCTTATCTACCATAAACTACATAGCATTACTGGCTCTTTTCATGAAAAACAAAAGTGTGAGGTGGACTGAAATACTACTATGAGCAAAAATAAAACCACTCTCAGTTTTATAGCGTTATTAATAATTGCACTTTCACTGCAGAGGCCAATCTTATGAGGTAGAACTTGGATTTTCATTGTGTGAATATGTTTATTAGCCATAGATTTGATTCTGAGGTGATTGTGATCTAAGAGGTACAAATCTGTTTGTTACACTATATTTGTAGATGACAGGATTTTAAAGCATTTATTCTTGACTTTCTGGTAGCCAGAGCATTGCCTTCAATTTTCATAGGGCATATATTTCTAGAGTGTGTTACTGCTTTTGTGTAAGGAATAGAATGTGTTATGCACACACATTTCTATTTTGTATCGGATTGTACTAGAAAGCTCTACTTTGTGATCAGTCCTTTTCACATCCACAATTCATTGCATGGAAATACACAGTAGAAGCAGCATAAGCTTGCAGAACATTGCAGTCTGGGAAAAGACAAAAAATGCTGTATTTCAGTTATTTAAATATTCTCCCCTTTAAGGAAAGGAATCTTTCAAATTCCATTCTTCCGATGGACTTTGAATTAAATACTTCCCGTTGGTAACTACAACAATTCATCATAGCTTGCTGGTCGATCTTTAAAGCAAATCTGATCTATAAAAATCAGCTAGATTTTTAGTCCCTTTGTGTTCATCCTTGTTATATTGCATCTGTTTAAAAAGAAAGAAAAGGCCTAGTCAGGCAAACAAAGATTCATTTTATCAAGAAGGGCCAAGCAAAATTTTCCTGCAATTTGTCCAAGTGTTTATTAATAGGGAAATCAAATAATAATCAAATATTTGGTGGCTTCATCAAACATGGATACCTTTATAACAGCATTTTAATGACTATGTTTCTGGACAGCTATTAACATTTCCTTCACAATTAAATGAGATTTTTGTTTTGTCCTTTATTCAGCACTGTATCACCTTTTAAAAAGACTGAATGATGCTGCCATCTACTGGAAAGTTCTGCTGTAAATTTATTATTCAAAGATTAAAAATACACGACATGATTGTATCCTTTTATATCATATTACATGTTTTTAAATAAGAACATAATATATAATACTGAATCTCAAAAAAAACAGGATTGGTCCTAAAATCTCATTGAAAGTGATGTTCAAAGCAAAGTGAAGAGATTTGTTTTCAGATGAAATATTGGAGGAATGTCAAAAAGAGACTAAAGTCTTTGGTGCTTTGAGGTGAAATTGGAGATGCCTTTTCAAGCAAAATGCCTGTTTGAACTCTGCGGGTAGCAATAAATGTTTATAGTTCAACCCCATGTATGTCTACTCTAAAATAAGTCCCACAGAGTTCAACAAGACTTGCTCACTGGCCATTAGGGTTAGATTTGATGACTCGTGACAACACCCTGAGGTATTTGGGACATCACTACCTGGAACAAAGAAAATTACACTGAAAATAAATACAAACATCATCTGTGAAAAGTATGTGCCCTTCAGCACATGGTGAAATTCTTAGCTTGCATAATATACCCTTATTGATCTCATCAAAAACTTTTTCAGGGTAAACATAGCAGGCAAAATCAGATTTCCTTCTTTTCCTTTAACTGGACTGCTTAACTGAATAAAGCTTATATTTCTGTGTCAACTGGGAATTGATTTTGAATGAATCGAATCAGCCAACATGCCCACTGTCGGCATATTTTCATGATAATTTAGTAATCTCTCTGGGGACTGATAACACAAAGGAGATATTCTCACATCTCCTGTGTCTTTTTAGAGAAGAAAGAAGAAGGGAAAAAAGAATACAATGGGTTTCAGACATGACAGTAACCATCAGGCCTGACTGAAGTAAACATGATGGGGCTTTCATTGTTTGCCATATAATCTCCTCCTTCTCCTCCTCTTAAATGTATCATTAGGATCATTAGCTGGTTATATGCATAATTAAATTATAATGCCTTCATAATTTTTCCTTAAAAAATACTACAGTGAAATGGCAGTTATTCCCAAGGTAAGCATATGGCTATTGTTATTAGCTTCTGTAAACCACTGAATCCAAAGCCTAAAATTATCTACGCAAGAGTAAACCTTCATGTAAAATATGTGTGGGATTGTTTTCTTCAGTCAAAGATGTAGCACTTTACCAAAATGAATTCCACCACAGGTACTTCTATCTTTCATGGAAATAACTAACTCCTCATTATATACTCAGCCTATTATGTACACTTGCTCAACATATAATGTACATATATTACAATATAGATGTTAACTATTTAACTATGAAAGCGAGAAAAAAAGTTCTCCATATATGGTGAATTAGAGAAAGCGTACGGTAAACATTAGAGAATGTTTTACATGAATATGGAAATAAAAACTGGTAGCTCTGTTGCTGCTACTGCAAGTTAGTATGCATGATAGTAAACAGCATGCTTAGCAAATGGCCAACTTTTAGCAAGAAGTAAGAGAAAGCTGTACAAAAATCATGTATATCTATTTAATAGAAAAAATGTTGATTGATTTGCATACCACCACAAATGGTAAGAATGACCCATAATCAGATCTACTAGTAGGTTTACTCCATCATGCTTGCTCTTTAGGTTTTCTGCACTGTTTTGTCTTCCTGCTGAAAATCAGTAGGAGATAGTTCAGCAGTTAACTATCACATTTCTAAATATGATCTTGGTAATCCAGAGGTGGTTGAGGGCTAATCTGCAACAGCCCATAGATTGGGCATTGTCCATCCCTACCTTAAGAATGCGGGGGGCACAATGGCTCAGCGGTTAAAGATGCTGAGCTTGTCAGCTGGAAAGTTGACAGCCCAGGTTTTGAAACCCAAGCACCATGCGATGGGGTGACCTCCCACTATTTGCCCCACCTCCTGCTCCTGCCGACCTAGCAATTCAAAAATATGCAAATGTGAGAAGATAAATGGGTATCACTTTGGTTGGAGGGAAGGTAACAGCATTCCATGCAACCTGGGATATAGTCATGCTGGCCACATGATGAAGGACATGTCTTTGGACAAGGCTGGCTCCCTTGGCTAAGAAACAGAGAAGATCATCACCCGCTAGAGTAAGACATGACTGGACAGGGGAAACCTTTATAAAGAATAGTATCCAAGAAATCTCTGGGAAACAGAAACTAGTCATGTAGTTAAACCTGCTGTACACTGTTCAGTAGATTTCATATAATAAATAATTGTTAACCATTTGATCTCTACTGTTTCCTGAGAAAATAGGATAGGATAGGATAGGATAGGATAGGATAGGATAGGATAGGATAGGATAGGACAGGACAAGACAAGACAGGACAGGACAGGACAGGACAGGACAGGATAGGATAGGATAACTTTTATTGTCCTTTTTTTACTGTGAGCACACTGGCACACATTAAAAATTATATATTAATTAATTAACTTTATATTAATCAATGTCCATTTTGAATACAAATATTTCAATAGATAACACATATGTAAAAGTGCTGAGTGCCAAAGTTGCCTTAAGGAAAGAGAAGGCATGACTTTCATGATAATGATAAGCCTCTCTTAAAAAGCAACTGGAACATGCATGATTGACTGATAAGCAAAACCATGAGCTGGGGTTGAAAGTTAAAATCCACAGTTTCTCTGATGGACAGCAATGATGTAATATATATAGTAAGCAATTTTATTGTTTAAATAGCAACTAATAGTCTTTCAAGTCTGAAATAATACCAACTTAGGGTATAACCTCTGTTATTTCCCCTCAGTCAACATGCCCTATATCCTATCCTTTTAAATTAACCTTTATCAATATTACATTCCTTTCTTAGCCTTATTTCCTCACCATCACCAACAGAGAGACATTTTTGCCAAAATCTACAAGAAGGAATCATGATTTGGTTCTTTGTTGTAGCTTCGGCCAGGACTGGGGTTGGAAAGACAGCAACAAATGATTCTCTGCCAGACAGAACCATTAAGTTGGAATGGATTCTCCAGTTTTCGAACATCCATTGCCTCAAAAAGATGGTAGGAAGAAGCTTACAATTTAAACCTTGGCAAATACCTAGAGCTTCATTCCCCTGTTCAGAAATAAGAAGATTTTCTCTATGTCTTCTTTCTTGTCTTCAATAAAACAGCTTAAGTCATTTCTCAAGTCTGTGAAGTGGAGTTGAATTTTTGGAGAGTTGATATTAACTGCACTGCCTGGTGGGACTCTGGCAGGCCTTCCAGATGACACAGGAGAAATATGCTTACAAAAATGTATTCACTTTTGCATTGTGAGAAGATTGTGAACAAAATGTGAGCAATATTTCAATACATAAAGCATACAGAAAGCTAAGTTTTAATAATATCCTACTTTCCCTGTGGAACAAACTACTGCTTCATTGCAGAATCTGAATAGTTATATAGTTATATAGTTATAGTTATATAGTTATAGTTATATAGTTATAATTATATAGTTATAGTTATATAGTTATAGTTATATAGTTATAGTTATATAGTTATAGTTATTTTTAACACAGACACACACACACACATATATAGAGGGAGGGAGGGAGGGAGGGGGAATGACCCTAAAAATAAACAGTATAGAATGCATTTCCGAATATTGTACTGTTACAGAGCATAAATGGAATTCAAGGCATTATAGGCTTAGAAAAGAAACATAATACATAATAAGAAAAATTGGCAGGAAAATTTGGGCATAGATAAGAATCTCAAAAAGTGATACTTGGCTTGACTAATATAAATTTGATTGATGTTACAAATTTGAACACAAGTACAATATTGTAACAAGTAATCAATCCTCACTAAGTTCTGTGTGTCAATTCATAATTAGAAACAGACTATAAAGACAACTGCTTATTTATTTTTTTACTTGTTTTTTAATAAAAGTAATCATTAATGCATGAATGATGTAATGTGTAGCTTGCTCCCAGCTCTCTGTAACACCATTCTCTACATCCCATATGGATGTACAGGGCAAAATAATAATTAAAAGAGAAGATCTCATCGTGCCTATGGCAGCACATCTAAATTGTGAAAAGAGTACTGCACAGAAAATGACACAATCAAAAAAGGGTGGAGATCTTTAAATGGCTGTGTAAAATCGGAAATATGTTGTTGACTGAATTAGGTGAAGCAAGGAAACACCTCCTAGCAATTGGCTGAGTTTTCCATTCCTGTCCACGACACACATGGAGAAATATATATACAAAGAATTAAAGTAGAATCAATGAGAAACATAATTAATTACACATAGGAAAGCAGCTAATGAAACTAATCAAAGTACACAGCGTGTTAATGAAAGTTAGCAGCTGGGACCAAATTATTGCATTAGGCATAGCCAGAGAGCAACTGAAAATACATTCTATCCAGAGCTAATAGCTTATGGCATTGTTCTATATACAGTTACGAAGGAATCACTGAGGCAAAGCTCCCGCAGTCCTGCCCGCAATAAGTATAGTTAACATGTTTAATTGCACTCATGCTATTTGGCTGCATTAACAACCAATGAATTTTTCCTCAATTATTTTTATATGGCATTGAATAATTTAATTTTAAAACTAAATACAGAGGTAATTGTATGCATGCTTGAAATATTTGCTGCTTAAAAGTCAACATTTGCTAACAATTAGCACAACAGGCTACAGCTGTGTTTTCTTTATTTGGAAATGCTGAAATATTTGAATTTATGCATTATATTTAATCATCAGCTTCTTTTTTCTGAGTGTTGTCAAAATCAGCATTAGAAGAAACATATACTGTACAAGGTTAGCTAGAAGTTGATTAATTTTCTTATCTGAAACATTTTTTAAACTACACGTCAAAATTAGGTTTATGCTGATTTTCCATATTTTTCCTTACCTTCTTAGTTCTCATACTCTGCAATAGGCATAGTAATGCCTGAACTGCCAATGACTGGTAATGAATACAATAATTTTACACGAGGTTCCTTCACCACTTTAAGTTTTGCCTTAGATTGTTCAAATCTCTCCCTTGCCATTACATGTGTCACGTATTTCCTAAATATTTTCTCTTCAATATTTTGTTTTTGTAACATCTGTTGCCTGGGGGGGAGAAATGGAAAAGAATTCATAATTATTACCAGTTCTAACTCAGATATTGAAAACTCTCTCTTCTATTGTTGTCGTTATTGAGCTTAGAGTGGTGCGGTAGCCTAGAGGTGAAGATGCTTGCGTCCCACTCGAAAAGTTGAGAGAGTTCTAT